AACAAGAAAAAAAACACGAGTTAACGGCCGTGTGATACCTATTTATCATTATTTATTTAGTGAAATCTGCTGACGTCATCAGAAATATAATTGTTACTCTTAAATATTAAACAGGGATTTCCTTCACCTATCCGCACTCAGTTCCTTTCCATACAAAGCCCAAATTTGAAATTATGATTTCCGTTGCAAGCTACAATTTCCAATCTTAAAACATTTAAATTGATGCAAACCTGTCCTCATAATGCTTTTGAATTCAGGTTACCACAAGAGGAAAATACTGTCAGTGTTAAAAGTATGCATTGAAATTTTCATTCTGCTTAAATTATGTGGTAGCATTTTTTTTAAAATACGCAGTAATACTCCTATGTAACTCTCATGTGAGTGACTTTAAAACATTTTTATTTCCAATCATAGTTGGCGGATGTGTTCCGGTAATTGGAAGAATAAAAGAAAATAGATATTGCTCTGATTTTGCATTGTTTCGCAGTTTATTGCTTTTGGTTTCAATGCTTTTGGAAAGATACCTTTATAATCGTTCAAAGCTTCAGTTGTAATAAACATGCGGTAAGGTAAATAAAAAAAAATATCGTTCTTCTTCACAAAGTCATGAAATTCATAGAAGAATGTTTTATTTTTGTAGGTATTTTTAATAATTCAGAAAATCTCAAAGTTCACAGAAAAACTTGGTTGCCGTGAAAGAGAAATGGAATAATTAATATAAAATGAAACAATATTTGAATTTATAAATCGTTTATATGGTCTTATTTTTGGCATTAGTTTATGTTATATGTTCTCGTATATACGCATTGTACCCTTAAATTAATTATATAATACGGATAATTTTGTCATTGGATTTTTTTATCTAAAACAAAGAAAAAGGAAATAAGCAACTTTTGTTTGTAGTTTAATTAATCAAATATGTACAGAACTTAAAACACAATATGATTTTTTTATAAATTTTCATTTATAAATCAATATATACACAATAAGTTGAATAATTAAAAATGTTAGATGTATGGTAAATTTCAAAAAATATTGTCAATAATATACATATATAGTTTGTCAATAATATTTGCATATTTAAATTATAAAAATAATAATACCTAAATAAAAAAGTAATAATAAAGATTAAGAATACATATAGGAATATAAAGAAATGTATGTATTATTAAAGGATTCTTTGACGAATACTCTTACCTCCTAGTGATTACGTACGTCGAACTTTAAAAAATAATTTAATTGAAAGTATAAAGTTGACGTTAAAATAAAAGTTACATAATTATATCTAACTTTTTATTCTTATCTTCTTTAACTTTTTTTTTTAACTTTTTATTCTCTGACCTCGTCTTCGGAAACATTACAATTTCTCATGTCTGCCAGCAACACATTTGTCCAGGTGGTCTTAGGTCTTCCTCCAGGTCTCTTTCCGGAGACAGACAAATCCGGCACTTTGTTGACGACGTAATTAGGTGATCTCCTTTTTACATGTCCATACCACCTCATCCTGCTTTCTTGCAGTTTATCGGCGATGACACGGACTCCCAGGCTCGCACGTATTCATTGCGGATCTTGTTCAGCCGTGTAACGCCGCACATCCACCTGAGCAACTTCATCTCTACTACTTGGATGGTATGGACATGCCCTTGTGTTAGAGCCTAGGTTTTACTACCATACATAAGTACAGGACTTATTATTGTCTTATAAACAAGGCCTTTAGGACGAACTGACATCTTCCTGTCGCAAGTTACACCAGTGACTTCTCGCCATTTTGAGCCATGGAGTTGCTTTTAACTTTTTATTCTTAACATAAAATATAAACTTTTACATGTATTTTCATACAAACATACCTATACGTTTTTTCTAAAACTTAAACCCAAATGAATATTATTTCATTAATCTTTGCTTTGGATACGACGTTCATTTTAATTATAATCAAAACATAGTTACGGTCCCTTTCCCCACTATGTTCCGAGTAATTAATTTACGTGTTCTAAGTCTTAGTAAATTGCAGCAAATGAAAATTAATACTGAATTAAATATGTATGGAAGGTTCAATTTCATTGTTTTATAAGAAAGAAAATATAATAAAAGTATTTTTATGTTTCCAAATGTTTGTTCAAATTATATTTTAACAGTTATGAATATTTTTTAACTTTTAAAATAACAACTATACATTTGATAAATAATTTTAATTTAAACAATACTGGTTTCTAGACACCTTTTAAATCGTTATCATGTCAAAGTAATGGCCAATTTTTTTTTCCATTTTATATCTATTTAAAGTAATATATAAAATTATATTTAATTTATATAAAAAATGATTTATGCATATAACTCAAATACTATAAGTTTGCTATGTGGATTAGTCATATCTTGATGAATCATACTTCATAGTTCATATATCACTCACTATATGACTTTTTAGTCAAAATAATTTAAAAGAATACTTTTCAATGGGGTAATATGTAAGATATAAGCAACATATCTGTTCTAGTATTTTCTAAACTTGCATTTCACATATTTAAATAGCGTTAATGAAATTATAATAAAAAACTTTTATTTTCTTTTTATACATGTATTTCTTAAGACGAAATAATATAATTGACATATTTATAATTATCTTTCTCTTAGAATTATGTAATGTAATAACTTTAACGGGACGCAAAACTTATGCTTACTAAAAAAAATATTTTACTCAACGTGTACCAAAATTATTTGGGAAACAAAATTTGGTAGCAACATTATTTACGAATATGAAATCAGCATTCGAATGTGCCTTGATTTTAAAAACGGTCCACGATAAAATTCACAAAAAGAGACGAAACACAAACAGTCATGTATGTACAGATGATTAAACCAATAAAAAATACAACGAATAAGTATTATATCGGCTGGACACGGGATGTGGATAAATGAATTCCCCCAGAGGTAATAAAAGCAATGTGGCTGTGTAAAAACTTGGACAAAAATAATTCTGTTCATATTGCATGTGACGTAGATTGATGTGATAATAAAAGGGATGGCTATATCCTCTTCTCACTTTAACCACACCCATTTTATATTTTCAAAAAGTGGATTAATTACGAAATAAAATATAACTATAAAGATTGAATTTTTTTTAATGGATAAAATAAAAATATTGTTGTTGATTTCATTTTGTTAATATGTGTAATAATTATAATAAAATCGAGGGATTCATTGTTACCTTGCATACTTAGTAAATGTCACTCGTTTATATACAATTCGCGAAAGTTTTGTGGAAACTGGTCTGTAAATCCTGTTGTTTATGAGAACATTCTGCACTAGGATATCATACTTGTTGTGCCACCTGAGGCACGAGTTATGCACCTAATATGTTATCTATCATACAGTAATGGTACACTATCAGTTTTTAAAAAGATCCACTTTAAGTTGATACGTTATATTCTACTATATTTTATAAGCACTTTCCAAAATATATAAAACTTGTTTTCATGTTATTCAGAATCATATAATATCATTATGTAAAAAATAACAAACTATTCATAGAGAATAAAAATTACTTAATTTATTTGGGAACCTTGTCTTAATAATCTTTTTAATAAGTTTTGAAGAGAAAATCTTGTGATTTTTAATTACACCTAGCCTAGTTTCATTACTAAGAACTGTGTAAAAATTTCATTTCTATTAACTCGAAAAAGTTAGATGATTTATATTGTCTGTAGTTCATGTCGCGAAGCGAAATTACAAAGTTTTGCGAGAAAATTTCTAAAATTCTAAAGCGCCGCCTTTCCGTCGCCTGTTTTCTCTACCGTTGTCTAAAACTGTTGAATTTGTGAAGCGAGTGTAACTTTGCACGGCCTTAAATTTCTCAACTTCGCCTTTCTTCAATAAAGTTACGGTGCTTTATCTTCTCTCAACAAGGTATTGTTGACAATGAAATATAAGTCAAACAAGTAATAAAATTATCATTGAGTAAAAAACAACATATGAATACGGGAACTATAAAGCAAAAAAAAAATTTTCACTTAAATGCTATTTAATTGAGAACCTCCTCCTCCTCTTCAAAAAGGTTAATAACAAGATTACAAAATCTGTCTTCCGACAGTGAAGGTCGAACATAATACAACTTAAGTGTTACCATTACTTAATGAGTGTTATGTATGCCTACAGATTTGAAGGATTTCCTAAACTTTCTCAGGATTCCATAATCAGGTCTTACTGTAATCATCGTGGGACTATTTGAGAAGTCGACCCTTATAAATAAATAAATCGAAATCGGTTGGCGTTGAAGTCACTGGGCCATTTGTCGCAGACATACTTTATGCTAATTTTAGACTTATATGTTTTTATCATAGTTGTCCTTGTCAGAACTGGACCAAACTGAAATGGGACCATCATTAAAAATCATTATAATCGCATTACCCAATCAAAACATATTATGTAAAAAATATAAAAAATACAGACAAATTGGTAAGGTTCTCCTCTTTCGAAGTCTGTTTAAATACATTACACACACAGTGTTGTATTAAAGAATAATACCTAATAATCCAAATCTCAAACAGATATACATATTTTTCGTACATTATCTATAAAGTAAATAACTAAAATTTACATAATTCACTACCTCGTTAGTTAAAACCAAAACATTAATGGAACCATGCAAATTAGATAAGCATTAATAAGCATTTTCCTTTATAATAGAATGGAGTGTTCATACACTCGGAAATCCAATTAGTATTCGATACAAGCCATTCCGCGAAGTTTGACTTTAGTTTCACCAACAATTAGTTGCCGAGGCTGTGTTGGTTGCACAATTCAATGGGATGATGAATTGGTTAAAGCTATGGAACTAAGCTTCAGAACGATGTTTTGTTCACAAGTCTCTCGAAATACGTAATGAGGGGGCATCTGTGAAATGCAATGGCTTGGACTGAGAATGAGCTTTGACCTATAACATGTTACGTAATAAAGGGTTTCATGTAGCAGGGTTTATAGACTTTAACGCAGTATACCATTACCTGATATGCTAACAATATCACCCATAGCTTTGGCCCCTTTTTGATATTTTGAAATTAATTTCCACCATATCTATATTTTATGTTTATATCCTTTATACATATTGGTACATAATTTTTATTTTAAATATATGAATGAGATTGACTGTCTCTGAATAAAAAAATGTCTAGTTATAATATGTACCTGTTATATGACATAAAATCTATTAATTAAAATCAATAATGTTGATACATCGATGAAGTTAAATGTGAAATTCAGCTTAAAATGTATAATGTTCTGTTTATTATTCATATTCGCTTATTGCTAAATATTTCCCATTATTGGCTCAGTTCTAGGAATTTAATGTAACGTTTCATGGTAATGGTACATAGTTTCTCTTCATCTTAAGTTTTATCAGATTGTATAATATCAATTAAGGAATTCCTTACCGTGTATAAGAAAACCGAGGCAAGAGTAAATAGTTCTACTTTCAAATAAGGCAAATTTATAAAGAAACATTATTCTCAAAGATTTCAGTGATAATAGTAAAAAATATTGAATAAATACAGTACTTTTATAATGTTCGTTAATAATTGAAAGTCCAGCACGCAATATGTTTCAAAATGTTATACAAAATTTGGTATCAGACTCGGTTTTATAAGTGACTAAAACAGAAATAAAAACAAAATCTCTCCATTCTCGCAATTTCAATACTGGAATTGTAAAAAAAACAACTCCTTTAGTTGAGATCCCTTTATATTTTCGGATATACTACGGGTTTTTTTTTAATTTTAAAACTATGTATACACTTCCGAAGTTTCGGTTTTGCTTTGCAGCAAAATTTTAATGGACGTCAAATGTTCTTTGCAGAAAATCAACTTCATAAGATATTTTTTACATCTTTACAATAATTTCGTGTGATATAAACAGTCTGATATAAAATATATACATTTGTTTTAAAACATTGCTTACTTTTTAAAAGAATATTTTGTATTAATCACCTAAATGAATTATACACTTTTGAAATAAATGGTTTCAAAAGTAAAAATTAGAATTATAAATTAAATTAATTTTAACAGTTCTAGACAATTTATCCTTTATACCTACCTAGAAAAGCTTTTTTAACATTACAATTGTGGTTACTAAATATTTTTATTCTTTTAAAACTGAGTCACCCATGAAACTTAATAAAAATATTTAAATCTTATTTATTCCCAAACTCATATTCTATAACAAACAATTTAAAATAATCTTTTGCCGATCCACAATATCATGTTTATTGCTCTACAACTGTATTTTGTCGTTTGTGGTGAGTCAAATACCTACCCTTACTATCTTACTTGTAAGACTTTAAATCCAAAAGAAGACTTTCAAAAACCCAGGTATATGATTTTTTTCTATTGTTTTAATTCTTTAAGTTATATGACTTTGGTCGTTTTTATAGCGTAGACATTTGTGAACTCTGAAGTGTTTCATTCCCTTAACTATTGGTTATATCAACGCATTAGGTAAGTTATTTCACTTGAACTAAATATTTATTCTTTTCTCATAGACCCCGTGTCATATTCACCAGACGACCCGCCGCTTTCTTTCATTAATCATTTCGTCGTCAGCCTAGGAAACGATAAAAGATTACTTTTTGTAGAAATAATATAGATGAACTTAAATTTTATCATATATCATTTACTTCTTATCTAGATTTAATTTTTTTTGTTGTGATAATAATGAAGCTTTATTTTAGTATGATTGAAAAATCTCTTGTAAAAAATCTCATTCCTTACTTGTGAGTTAATTTATTTTGCTACTGCTGTTTTGTAAGTCTGAGAAGGATAATATTTTTTTTTTAATTCGAATATTATTTCTTTTTTTAATTTAATTATTATCAATGTTGTATATCAATTTCAATATAAGTTTATTAATTTATGACAATTCCCTAAAATGTAAAGAAATAAAAAACAACAAGTTTATTTTGGTTAGATCTTGTAAAGTTTATGTCACTCTTATATAAACTTTTCCATGTAGTTTTTTTTTTGTATAACATTCATAAATTAAACTGTAACACTCTCGATAAGTTTGTTTCAAATTTAAAAACTTACGTAAACAGTATACTTTGACACATAAAAAAAATTACAAAAACACAACTTCACTGAAAAGTCCTCAATTCAAAACACACTGTAAACACTTCAAACAACTAACAAACAAGAAGGAAATACTCAAAAACCTAATCTACTGCAAACTGTCGTTAATAAAACTTCTTCAAACTCTCCTCAGGGTGAGATAATATTTTTCGTCGAAAAAACAAACATTTCGCTCGGGGAAACTTGAAACGCTTTGCACGCACCCAAGATCATAATACCTTGATAACTCTTGACAACCCTTGGTAATGTACTATGACGCATAAAAGTGTAAGCCCATTTGGCCTCGTAACAAAATTTACGCTAGTCTAGCATCACATGTTTTTAAGTTGATGTACTTCTCTTAGCACTCTGAAAAAGAGGCTTCTAATACAAGTTTATCGCTTGGACTGCTTCTTTAAAACTCACGTACGTCATATAAAGAGTTTTGAAACGGTCTGGAAAAGTATATAAACATTCTTTTATTTGTATAAGCGTGATTTGGGGTATACGTTAGTTTTTATAGAGCACTCAGCGTGCTAAGGCATTATGGCTTGTAAATATTTAAATACGACCAAAATAAAATAATTACAACCATAAACTAGAACAATTAAAAAAAATATTAATTAATTCAATTAACTAATTTCCAGATAGCAACTGTGATTTATAATTACATGTAAAATATGTAACCAAATCTGCGACAATTAACATCAATAACTCTTGTAGGACAATGTTTCACTAGTTCAGAAATTAGGGTTTTAGGTTTTCTATCTTGAATGAATTTATTTAAAAATAAAAAAATATCATGAATATTATTATCAAGGAAAGACTGAAAACATTGGTGAACAATAAATAGAAAGCGAAATATAAAAAAAAACGGTATATATTCGGAGATTTTTAGAATTGATGAATATGTTTATATTTTGACAGTAATTTAAAGTAAAAAAAAATAAGACATAATTTAGATAAAATAATTTTATTTAACTAATGTTTTTAAAAAATGAATACATATTATAACGTATAGTTTCAAAAAGCAATACAATCTCATAATATCGATCATTAGAAACATAGTTGCAGGGCTTTGAGGATCCGAAAAATAATCTCTGTAACCACTTCCTAGCTAAAATTTAGTGACAATTTTTAATAGTTACCCGTGCTACTTGTGAAATTAAAACAATTCGTTGTTTTCCAGGATGTAATAGTGTAAAATTTAAAAATGTTAAAAATGTATATATACTTACAAAAATGTGTAAGCTTGAGTTATATACAAATAAAAACTAGTTCATACATTTTATTACAATACCGCTGTCTGGTACTCGTATGGAATACAAAGTAATTCTATTTATTATGTGCTGCGGTAGCCTAACTTTATGCTTTTTGTTTCCTTCTTTGTGGAAGAAGTTGCATTTATTCCTTCTGATACTTTTGAAATTTACTTTGATTATATTCAGTACGCGTTCGAAAACTGCATAGCCTCGGTTCCTATTCATATATATATGGACGTTTGATTTTGTATCAACACGAAATAATGTTGAACTAAAAAGCTTTGTTTTCCTTTCCCCGAAAAACTCTGAACGACTCAGTAAATTGAAATAACACAGTACAAAATTGCTAGCACGCTTATTAAAAAGTTAGTCCTATTTTTGTTATTAATTTCCTTAGAAAAAATGTCAATAGTTTCTCTATTATTTTTTAATAAATATATATATATATATATATATATATATATATATATATATATATATATATATATATATATGTATATACTTACTTTAAGCTATATTTTTTTATACTAATTGTTTCTAAATATAAAAAATAAAGTAAACTAAAATACGAAATATATACATTTACAACTTGATTTTCATTAAACTCTCAATATAAAGTAATTTGCGTGCAAGACTATTACGACATAGTTTAGTAGATTTTATTACAGCATATGCACTCCTTAATTATTCTCAGTTCTACCGTCAATTAAGATGAAAGGCTTTGAGCATTTGATGCAAGAGTGGCAGGTTCATAGGATGGGATATGCAATTAGGAGCTTGAAATACCTTTACAGTCCGTCCTTGATACTTGCCACCTGTGTCAGCTTAGGGTCATAAGGACCCTTCTGTTATACGGAACGTGTTGACAGTTGTATATTACAACAGCTTAGATAGATGACGTGCGTTGAAAGCGATTAAATCTATAATAATAAATTATAAGAAACATTTCTCAAATTCTGAAATTACTGAAATATTGACATTTATGTCATGTAAATATTTTGTTCTAATTAAAATTTATACGAAAAGGAAAAATATCGCAAGTAACTTTTTATGTACTTTAACAACCTTACAATGGTATATAAAAATTTTAATGTTAGTTGCTATCGAATTATTCGTATTGATAATCAAAAAACTATTAAGAAAAGATATAAAAATTGTATTAATAAACTATAAAATATAGAATACTGTATAAATATAAAATCTAATTTTTATTTTATTACAAAACCATAAATACGATTAACTTTACTTTCTAAACATATTTAATAAACACCAAAACATCTTTTGATGATTGAAAATATAATGGTATTTGAATTGTATTTACAATCCATATAAAAATTTCAAATAGATCTTGCCGATATCACAGAAAACATGATTGGACGTACGAGAGTAAACAATTTTACTAGCGAAATTTCGAAGAGTCACTCAGTTTTTATTGATATCTTGAGCGTCCGTTTACTTTTCATTACAGATAGAAGTTTGTTTGCAAATATTTTCAGACGTTCACCAACACTTAACTACATATAACTACGAGTTGATCATAAGGTTTAAAAAGGTATACAAGCCTGTAATTTAAAAGAAACCTGCGAATTTAACAGCCAAATATCTTGTGATGAAATTCAGATATTTCAAAACGGCTTTAAGTTAAGCATACTTTAAAGAACAAGGATCA